TCATTGGTGCCGGCGGGGATCGAACGCGAGTCTGCATGTCTGAGAAATTAAAAAATATATATTTCGAAGATATGTGAAGTTCGTCTACACGCATTGAGGCAACGTGGCGGACATTTCCTTGCCTTAAAACCCTCTCAGAAATTAGAGGAGGCCTGTGCCCAGCAGTGGGACGTATATAGGCTGTAACTTTAATTTTTTTTACTTTTATAAATATATTAGTTTACCGACGAAAATTTTAAAGAAAAATAAAAAATAAGCAACCGACAACCTCCTAGGTCCCTAGGTGACTTGCGAGATGTCAGTGTAACAAAACAAAACGGCCCAGAAAAACAGACTTTCCAACTGATAGCTAAATCAGCACGCAACAATTTCATTGGTGCCAGTGGGGATCGAACCCGGGTTGCTCCCGTACTGTGATACTTATAACGAGCGCTAACCATGTGAGCAACCACGGCTCTCAACGACATCGTTCCGTTCGTGTACAGCGCTGAAGATAGCAGAGTAAAAAATTAGAGATTGTGGTGTTTGAAATTTGTCATCTATGAGAGTGAATTTTATCTGTGTACTCTGTAACAAATAACTATATAGAAAAAAAATGTGAAAATGACATTTCGCCATTTTTGTTTGTGTACTGGTTAGGAACTCGATCAAAAATTTGATAATTTTTCTGTTTTTATACGTTATTTCTAAAAAAATGTGAAAATGACTATTCGCCATTTTTGTTTGTGTACTGGTTAGGAACTCGATCAAAAATTTGATAATTTCTCCGTTTTTATACGTTATTTCTAATGTTATTTTACATCAAATTAATTGTGAAGATATTTTCTTTTGGAAATATGTATCATTACGACGATTCAAAAACGTTTACATATAATAATTTACCTCGAAATTCACTATACGCGATTATCGTTTATTGATTATATGTTGTTTATAAAGTATTCTTATCAGTTTTTTGTGTTAAATGGATGCTAAATATAAAAGAATGCTTCAGTATTGATAGCAATTTATTAACGAAATATCTGTTGAGATGTGTCTAGAAATTATTAATACTTATTTTTATTTATTTATTAAAATAATAAATAAATAAAAATAAGTATACATTTATCTATATTGAGTACTAGTTGTTCCCCGCGATCTCGCCCGCGTGGAATATGGATTTCATGGGTTTTAATTTTTTTGCGCGGAACCCTAATTCTTTTTCTAAAACAAAAGTAGTTCAAGTTATTCCTTATATCATCAGCTATCTGCCAGTGAAAGTCCCGTCAAAATAGATCCAGCTGTTTCGGAGATTAGCTGGAACAAACAGACAGACAGACAGACCGACAGACAGATAAAAATTTTAAAAATTGTGTTTTTGTTACTAGTACTTTCATATGCATTTAATAAAAAGCTGTTGTTTTAACATTACAAACAGACACTTCAATTTTATTTATTTGTAGATATAGATGTAAGATATTATTCATATTGGTGTCATTTTAAAGGGAATATCATGTACTATTATAATAATAAAATAATTGTCTCCAGTAAATATTATACTTTTCTTGTAAAACTCGAAATAAGTAAAAATAAATACGATTTATTTTTATATCCCCATATGCTTTATTTTCATCCCTTATTTTTTATTTGACCAATTTTCTTTTAACGAAATTAAATTCTGAATTCGTTGAGCTTTTTGAGAATATTGTTATTTGAATGTTAGGTAGGTAACTATATTAGTTTTTCAGTAGTAATCGTTTTTGTTGCGACAGTCTCGCGCGGTCGTAAAAAAAGTTACTGCGCGGACAGGTGGGACGAGAATCACTTGCGCGGCGTTGACGTTTCGGTGGATAGGTATCTACCTACTGTTATTACCTAAATACCCATAACCTATACAACAAAATTTGACAAACTGTCGCTGCGTCGTGGACACTAAAATGTAAACTGCCTACCTACCTGCCTAAGTACGTCGGTACTAAGGAAACAGTCTTGACGGGTCACTTGTCTTGATAAAAACATGTGTTTACATCTAGTGATATTGTCTATATATAAAAAAAAGTAAGAAGACAGCTAAGTATTTTTGAAAAAAATTTATAGGTAGGCAGAACTAATTACAATTATTATCTAAATATTATAAATGCGAAAGTTTGGATGGATAGATGTATGTTACTCAATCACGCCAGAACAGCTGAAGGGATCTGGATGATATTTAGCTCAGAGATAGGTTATATCTAGTCTGGAGTAACACATTTGATACCGTTTATTCAGGTATTTCGTTCCTGTGGGATAATTTTCGAGTTCACGCGTTTGAAGCCGCTGGCAACAGCTAGTACGGATATAAACTGCGATGACTGTTCCAGTTCATACTTCGGCGTCGTGAACTCTTGAGTGATCGCTGCATGACCACCCGGGGAAAACTAAACGTAATAAAATAAGCAATCTATATTAGGTATCTATAGAGCTATAGAGGTATAGTATAAAGCGATAACGCAGCGCCTAATAATTTAGTACGAGTGGCACGATGCCAGGTGAGACAACGTGCTTTTTGGCCGCGCCCACCAATGAGTTCGAGCCCGCGACTTGTGCCACCTACGGAATTCCTTTGTATAGTGCGACGTTGCCACTCTTATTAGTTATTCCGCTTTGTAATATTTTATTTATAGGTGATATTTTGTTTATGTAGGTATTCGATAGATTCCTATAGTCTGTTTTTTTCGTAGGAGACAAAAATAACAGATATTTATTAGATTCGTTAAGCACGAATAATACAGTTTTTATGATTCTGGTTCAGATTAGATTTAATTTTAGTCACTTAAAATATCATGATTAATTTACCAACTAGTTATTCGTTTACTAAATACGAAAAAATATTTAGACGTCATTTTTCTTCCAATCTTGCTGTACTGAATATTTACGTAGTCCTTATATTAATAATTATAATTGCATAAGTTGATACAAAATGCTATGCAATAGCTTTACCGCGGCAGTCCCCGAGTGCCACACGTCTTTTTTATTTTAATATCATGCTATTTATTTTGTAATTTAATGTTATGTGTTTGAATAGGATTATGACTTAAAATAGATAATTTTAACTTAATGTTACAAACGTGTTGGATGCTATCATCTGTTAGCTGTAAGCATGTATCCTATAAATAAATAAATGATGATGGTGAACCGAGGATGAACGTACAGTCATTATAAGCTAGAAAACGCCTCGAGGTGTTTCAATTGCACTAAGGAGATCATGATAAATTGCAAAGTTTTATCCTGCCAATTTAAAGCTAATAGTTTCCTCTCATTATTTGGTGTAGAAGGTAACGAGTACTAGGGATTCAAACGTATACTTATATATCTATAGAAAATTGGTAATGGCCCATCTTACAAAGCAAGCTGGCGCTTTTTCCGTGATGGGATAACCGGTTGTCTGTGATAGGAAAACATCTGCCTCTTTTGACTTGGCCTTGCCTCTTTTGGTTGGCATCTTCTACTCCTTATGCTTTTAAAAGTCATTTCGGTAAGGCGACAACGACGTTCAGAAGACTTATACCAGAACTTGGAGCAACAACCTTTAAAACTAAGATGATCGTGTAGGTATACAGTATGTGTCTTGAGCATTGTTTTACAGATCAGATATATAGACGTCTTAGACCTAAGTAAATTCTAACGAGAAGTTGATTGAGATTACGCAGTAGTGCAGCTTATCCAGCAAAAGCGAATACGAGGGCTAGGGCCCGTGTACCGCACGAATGCTGATCCTTTACCCTGGCTGATCTGATGATTTTCGAAAAGATAGCGAAAATGAGAAATCGTTGTTACCAAGCGTGATCAATGGAGAAACGTGTTGTGGGATGGTTGCTTCGATTACGATAAGGCATGATGTCAGGCCTTGGCTAATAAACGCGTCAATTGGCAGATTGGTGTCCTTGTCCGTCGACCGACACGAGCTGAGCAGTCAGAGACGGGGTCCGCACTCCCCCCCCCCTCGGACTGCGGTTAGATAGCTTAAAAAACGCCTAAAAAGGCGACATGATGGTTGGTAACAATACCAAATCATAAACCACTCATCATCATCCTCACCTCATTGCCTTTCCCTTTTTTAATTAGCTCGCGACCTTGCAGGCCGCGAGCCCTGAGTCAGATGAAGCTGTAAGAGTCGTATAGACTAACAGCGCTAACATCCAGAAAATAGAAATTGGTGTCCTTGGTGGACATCAATGTGCCAATTCACCTTATAGACCTTATGGACACATATGGCTGTTTATACTGCCTGACAGAACACCATGCCGGAAATGCTTTCGATATCACTGCCCTCGTATTGGACTCAATAGCCACAAATGTTTTTGCCTAGGACGAAATGATGTTTAAATAATTTGTCACAGGTTAAAAAGCCTGTGTATTTCTATATATCTGTCGATGTGTAGTTGCTGTACTTATTTATAGCAGTACATAGCCTGTATGTTCTGCAATAATTACCATTTGCATGCGTGCGGGTTGGAAACTAGAGTTTTTTTAAATAATTGTGTATTTTATCAGGAAGATGCTGCTGCCCATCTCTTGTTTCAGTATCTTTCCATCGCTTCCTACGACATACTCAGGGCGATATGGGGTAGTGGATATTCTGACACAGTGACCATAATATTGGTGCGTTGTAAAAATGTATAGGTACCATCTTCAGTTCCTATGAGAGGCTTAAACACGAATAAGCGATTGCACATTTGGTGCGCCACAATGATATATTGCACCACCATGAAAACTTGCTAAGGCCTAACACTATTGAATTTATAGTTTCAAATAATGAAACAATTACAACACCTTCCAAAGTTAAAAAAGTGATCTAGGCACTAATTTCTTTATGCTGTCAAAATGTCGCATGAAACAATAAAATTAAAAACTATTTTATATTATACCTTAAAAAATTAAATACATCTTAAATAACATGTCTTAAATAGAAATATTTGTAAATCCTAATCTCAAAATCTACAATCAAACAATAAACACATCTAGCATATTATAACAACTTTAAACTAGTGTTGGGATGGCGGAGTTGCAAAAGAGTTACCATCAAATTCGCTTTTCGACTTTGACTTGGCTTGAGAAGCCTTCGAAGCAACTCGTCTTGCCCACGCTAAATCACGCGAACTTCTCGCTTTACGGCATCGAGATTTTGAACTGTCTGAAGTAATTGATTGCTCCGAAGTCGAAGTAACTGACCAAACCGAACCCGTATCTTGTTCTTCTTGGCAATAAGTCATTTCCGAATGAGTGATTGTACTCGTTGAATACATTTGCAAACGATTCGCGTTTGGTGATTTTTCAATTTTTACTTGAGATATAGACGTTTCAATTTTCGGCGGACTTTTTGCTCTCACAGTTTCTCCAACATCTAATATAATATTACTCAGGATTTCTTCACTCTCTGCTCGTTTTGAAGGCGGCAGAGATTCGACGTCACTAGTCTCTTCGTTATCGCTCATTATAACTGCCATCAACTTTTCTGTGTTCTCATGAAAATCATATACCTTTTGTGTCTTTGTTGAACCAAGAGAAGAGGTTTTAGTCCTAGATGGTGTACACTTTAGACGTCTGTGATCGCTGTAATATACAGAGTTCTGATGTAAATGTACGGGAGGAATAACCGACTCCACCTTTCCATAAGTCTTTTCATTCGAATTCGTTAAGTTACTGTTGCGGCCTGTACAATGGCACGCATTACTTTTTCCGATTATATAACTATAACAAATTTGTAGTAGACAAATAAAAATAGCGGCTAATAAAACCAACACTACGTACAATTTCGGACTCCAGTCTGGATCCATGTATATATACGTTTCGGTAAGAGTTTTCCAAGGATGCCATTTTAAAACTCCATGATTTTCGTCTTCAAAGAGGTTACGCCGAGAAAGACCTTTACCGTAGCTTTGGACTGCGGCGGCAACACGTAAGATACCTCCATAAGCCGAGTAAAGTTTTTCATCCATAAGATGTGGAGCTACGTCTCTTTTCATCCAATGCCATAATTCATTATTGAAGTTCAAAAAATCGATATGCCTGCACGGTTTAGGTGATTTACGCAAGATACATCTTGTCGCAGTCGTGTAATATCTTAGCAAAATATTTTCTGAGCCGGGTGATGTCAAGCTAACGAATCCTCCGAATTTAAAAGGCAAAGCGATTGCTGAAGGTTCAAATTCATCGTCTAGTTTCGGCTTCGGCAAATGTATGCAAGAGTTTGTGTCTCTCTTTGTAACCAAACACGAGCACGGGTTCACTAGTTTACCGTATCCTGTGAAAACCTTGACAACAGTTAAATTACTCCATTGAGGAACAGGATCAGGCCGGGCCCATCCTAAGCCTTGAGTGTTTAAAAGTAACTTTATGTGTTCTAAAAAGTCATGCAATTCTTTAACAGATTTATAAGGAACGTAACCAGCGTAGTATGAAAATCTCGCTGTTGGTAATATTTCCTTTCTCAAGTGGGCGCCCATGGTATCACCGAGTGCCGTTTTCAAAAGGCTAGCAGAATGAGGATCTGCGTCCTTTACAACGTTACGCAACGCACGGCGAAAATAACACAGCATTTCTCTTATATACCTACTGTTTATTTTTTCAGGATATACACTAGAGGGCATCAACTGTTCGAAAATTTTCCTAGCGCGAAGTTTTGCCAATTCATCGTCACTCCAACATTCATTCCTGCCTTGCTTGTTATAGAAAATTGCTGATCCCACTTGTGTCTTAGAAGCACTTGCTATCTCTGTCAATATTAATAAAATCATAATAAAAATCATTGAGAAAAACGTGGAAAATATTGTTCATAGTAAAATTCTAATGACTGTCATTAAATGTCAAGAAAAAATAGATAAGAACAAAGCGTCTAGGCAAGGAATAGAATACTATATGTACATATGTATTATAGTATATATTCTATAAGGCAAGGTATAAAAGTATAAAAGGGTATAAAAGTACTATTTATTTAAAAGACATCGTGAAAATGACAAATTTGCCTACTATGCGTAAACTAAGGCCATAGATGATCTATTAGTTTAGCGAGGTTTTTGACCGTTCAGGGTTTTTATGGTAGAACTAGTTTGAGCTAGTTTTAAATTTATGGGCCATTTTTTTCATAATTTTGGCAGCCTCGTAAGCGAAATGTAGGGCGGCCGCCTTCTAGATGGAGTCACAAGCTAGTAAGCGTGCAGGAAGTTGATAGATGACTCAAAACCTTGCTTTGTGGGCTATGTTCAGCTGTGGACTTACACTTTGGCAAATACATACAAAAGGTTTAAAGCCCTAACTGTATGAGCCTAAACATATTGTTGCGCGGCACAGTTGATGGCACTAGTGCCATCTGGTATCAAGTGTCAGAAACAGGAGTGTCAAGATATTTCTGGAACTCTCCCAACAGCGTCATCTAACAAATGGAAGAATTAAGCTTTCTAGAAAGCCCCACACTCGAACTTTCTGCGCCTGGTCGGTCGGCGCCCGTATTTGCTGGAATATTCTGGATGTTTCTGTGGAAGAGCCCTATATATAAAGTCGTTGGTAGCCGCGATCGGGGGCAGTATTGGAATTTGGCGAGACAAGCGAAGCTGCGGAGCGAAATAAAGTGAATCAGTGTGATTAATTATTAGTGTCTTTTAAGTTTTAATTGGTGTTCGGTAATAAAAGGGTGTAAATTTGTAATTCAATCGGCAGTTTTTACTGTCACGAACCTCAAGCTCGTAACAATTGGTATCAGAAGTGGGATAAAATCATGCCGATTTTACCTACGGACGAAATGGAGGGTGTCCGTACCCGAAGTCAACGCCAGCAGGAGACGGACCAGAGACGATTTGCTGGTGCAACGCCGCAGACGTTGGAGGGCCAACTGCCAGCTACGGAGGCTGGCCCGTCAGCAGCTCCTACACCTGCAGCACCTGACTTAGGTGCTCTCATGTTGATGCTACAGGAACAGGCCCGTTGGTTTAAAGAGCAGCAGGAGGAACAGGCTCGTCGGCAGGAGGAACAGGCCCGTCGGTCGGAAGAGCAGATGCTCGTCATGGAGGACCTTCACGCTACCTTTGGGAAGGAGATAAAGGAGGTGAAAGATAGGGTTGCTCAACATGACAACCGCCTGTCGGAGGTTGAAACCCGAATCGGAGAAGCTGAAACCCGAATCGACCAAGTGAACAATCGGGTTGACAACTTAATGGCTGACGTGAAGAAAACGCTGGACGACCTCAAACTGGGGGATGGAATTACGGCTCCCGTAGTAGCTACAACACCTTTGCTAGGTGGATTTCAAAAATTCGTGCCGCCGTTCGACGGGACTTCTTCCTGGTCGGCTTACAAAATCCTCGTCATGGAGGCGAACGGCTGGAATAAAAGCCAGGCCATGACTGCTCTCACCCTAGGCCTGCGCGACCAAGGCTTAACTGTGTTGGAAGCTCTCGGTAAGAAAGTTACGAGCAGCTCTTCGAGGCATTGGAGGCGAGATATGGTGACGCTCACCTGGAACACGTCTTTCGTGCGCAGCTTAAAGATTGCGTGCAGCGTATCAACGAAAACCTGCCGCAGTGGGCTCTAGAGGTGGAGAAGCTGGTGCGAAAAGCGTACCGGTCTGTACCTGCGCTCATTGAAGGGAAACCTGGTGCAGACATTCATCGCTTCAAGAGGTGCTGTAAGGCTTGGGCACCACGAGACGCATAAGGACGCCTAGGCCCCTGCACTGGAGGTGGAGGCCGTGCGGCAGGATCTTCGCTCCCATCGCGTCAGGGAGGTTGCAGCAGCTACAGTTCGCGACCGCAATAAAGGTTACCGCCCTTGGTGCTATGGCTGTGGGGAAAGGGGCCATCTTCGATCCAGCTGCCCTAAGTGGACCCTAGAAAGGGAAGGTGAACGATCTCAAATAGCACCGCCCAGCAGCAGTAGGGAAACGAGTATAAGCCAGAACTGCGGGGCGGGTGCTAGCTGATGTTAAGAGAGCCCCAAGGATCTCGATCTCACAAACACATGATGGGAACAGTCTAATCATCAAGGGCGAGGTCAACGGAATGCCGTGTAAACTGACCATAGACACTGGAGCCTCTCGTACGGTTGTTAGTTCCCAACTTATAAGCCAGTTCCTTGGGGACTCCACGTACAACCGAGAACGCATTAATTTGGTAACAGCCACCGGTCAGCGTATACCCGTCCGTGGAGAGAAGGAGATGGAGTTGAAGCTAGGCAACATGATCTACCTTTTTTTATAGAAGAGGGGGCAAACGAGCATGCGGCTCACCTGATGTTATGACTACCGCCGCCCATGATCAAACGCAACACCAGGGGAATTGCAGGTGCGTCGCCGGCCCTTTAGAAAGGAGTAAGCTCTTTTCTTGAAGGTCCCCAGGTCGTATCGGTCTGGAAAAATCGCCGGTGGTAAACTATTCCACAGAGAGGTTGTACGCGGAAGAAAACTCCTTTTGAAACGTACTGTGATGGACCGCCAAGCATCCAGATGGTGTGGATGGTATCGGGATGTTTGCCGCGTAGTGCGTTCACGAAATTTGGCGACTGGGATTAATCCGAACAATTCCTCAAGGCACTCTCCCTAGTATATGCGAAATAAAATGCAAAGAGATGCAACATCTCTTCGCAGTGTCACTGAATCGAGCCGATCGGAAAGCACTCGGTCGTCGACGATTCGAGCCGCTCTGCGCTGGATGCGGTCAAGTAGAAGGAGCTGGTACTGGGGAGCCCCAGCACAGAGATGGGAACAATATTCCATGTGCGGCTGAACCTGCGCCTTGTAAAGTTGCAGGCGGTGTGCCGGCATGAAATATTGTCCCGCTCTGCTGAGCACGCCAAGCTTTTTAGAGGCCAATTTGGCCTTCTCTTCCAAGTGACCACGAAACTGCACGTCACTCGATATGTCAACGCCGAGGATTCCGATACTGGCTGAGGCAACAAAGGGAGTGCCTTGAAACTGAGGAGATACGACAAAGGGGTTCTTTTTAGCGGTTAACGCGCAAACTTAACTCTTCTGGGGGTTAAAGTGGACTAGATTTAGTCGCCCCCAATCCGAGACTCTGTTCAGCAAAGACTCGACTTCAGACACAAGTTTGTCCCGGCACTCGGAGATGTTTTCCCGAGAAATATTGGCTCGGCCGGTGTAAAGAGTTTCACCAGTGCTGTCATCTGCTTAGCAATGAATGTTACGGGTTTGCAACATATTGATATGCAGAAGAAACAGCGTTGGCGATAGCCTTGTGGAACACCAGCATTAATAGGCTTGCAATCGGAGCTTGCACCGTCAACAACGACCTTGATGCTCCGATCTGCAAGAAAGCTGGTGAACCAATCGCACAATTTCTCGTGAAGCCCATAGGAAGGGAGCTTCGAAAGAAGCGCCTTGTGCCAAACCCGATCGAAGGCCTTCGCAATGTCCAAACTAACGGCCAATGCCTCCCCCTTGGACTTTACGTTGTATGAGTTCGACCACTAAAAGCTGTTGGGTCCAATGGGACAGCTTGCTGCTTCAGGATGGAGTTCTGCGCAGTAAATGGGTAAATGTTCATTGAGACAGCTGTCATTTGCAAATGGTTGTCCCTAAAGCTAAAGTACCGGATGTTCTACAGCTTTACCATAATGATTGTCCAGGAGGCCATCTGGGAGTTAAACGAACTCTACTGAAGATCCGAGAACGGTTTTATTGGGTTTACTGTCGAAACGATGTCGAGGACTGGTGTCGCAAATGTACAAGTTGTGCGGCTGTAAAGGGACCTCAGACTCGTAGTAGAGCTGCATTGCAGTTGTACAATGTTGATGCACCGTGAGACGTGGCGGGGCCGTTTCCGGAGAGTGAAAGCGGTAACAAGTATTTCATAGTTGTGATGGATTACTTCACTAAGTGGCCAGAAGTCTTCGCCATTCCAAATCAAGAAGCTTCAACAGTTGCAGATAAACTAGTTCATGAAGTCTTCTGTCGTTTTGGAGTACCTTTAGAGATTCACAGCGATCAAGGAAGGAATTTTGAGTCTCAAACATTCCAGGAAACTTGCCGAGTTATGGGTACTCATAAAACAAGAACGACTTCTTATCACCCGCAATCTGATGGAATGGTAGAACGATTTAATCAGACATTGGAGAGGTACCTAGCAAAAGTTGTAGACAATCGGCAACGAGATTTGGACAAACACATACAACCGTTTTTGTAGTCATATCGAAGCACTGTTCACGAAAGTACATCAGTGACACCAGCTTTCGCAAACTTTGGAAGAGAATTACGGCTGCCTATAGACCTGATCACCGGGATACCACCTGATGTCCCAGGCAGTATAATCGATTACGCAAATGACTTGCGGAACAAAATGAATGACATTTATGAGCACATCAGAGAATCGGGTCAGCAAATGTCTGAGAAGATGAAAACCAGGTATGACCGCAAAATGAACAACAAAGGGTTCGACGAAGGTTCACTAGTGTGGTAGTTGCACAATCCAGTCCGCAGCAAAGGGAAATCTCCTAAGCTTCAACCTAAATGGGACAGCCCGTACCGGATTGTGACCAGGATCAACGATGTAACCTACCGGATACAGAAAGGCGCAAGAGGTACTCCTAA